AAGGCATGTCACTTCTGTAATTGCCTAATTACGTGTAGATGTTATTAGTGTCACCACCCCAGACAGGTAGAGTAGGTAGGGTGGAGAAGGGATCAGCCTATTTCAGCAAAATCACAGACTTGGAACATAAAACTGACCCAAGGAAATTCTCAGGGTCAAATATATCTTGACTGAGTATTTTGAACTAGAAACTGGTTGGCAGAGACAGCAAGGAACAAGACAGACAGGTTCCTTGCTCTCATAGATTTTACAGTCTAGTGAGACAGATAAACATAAAGGAAGTACACAATTAAGTAAAAGCCCAGGAAGTGCTATATAGGAAATAGTCTAAAATGGACTTAGAGCAATGTGGAAGGCCACTTTGCATGGGGTGATCAGGTGAGGCTGCTCCAAAGAGGTGACATTTGGGTTGAGACCTGAAAATGAGCCATGTTGGGAAGAGCAGGGGAAACAAAAGATGCCAAGGCTTGAGACAAGGTCACAGTATGTTCAAGGCAGCTGGGAGAGGGTTGGAGTGTAGAAAGGGAGGGGAGAGAAGAGTGGCAGTGGTAGACAGAGGCCAGGTACCAGGGGTCCTTCTTGAGGAAGGAAGTTTGGTTCTCATCTTCTAAGGGTGATAGATGGTGGAATGTCTTAAGTATATAAATAATAGGCTTCAACTTATTTTGTCAAAATCATCACGGCAGCCGGGCTCGGTGGCTCAGCCTGTAATCCCACGCCTTTGGGAGGCTGAGGTGAGTGGATTGCCTGAGCCCGCGGGTTCGAGACCCGCCTGGGCAGCGAGACCTCATCTCTACAATAAATCAAAAAATCAGCCAGGCGTGGTAGCGCATGCCTGTAATTCCAGCTACTTGGAAGGCTGAGGCGGAAGGATCGCCGGAGCCCAGCAGGTCGAGGCTGCGGTGGCCGGGAGCAGCCACTGCCCTCCAGTCTGGGCAACAGAGTGAGACTCCAACTCAAACAAACAAACAAACAAACAAACAAAACAAAACAAAACAAAAATCATCATGGCTTCTTGTTTAGTCTTCCTTTCTAGGAATCCCTGTTGGTGAAGCTGCTCTCACAGGGCTAATAAGAATTCTGGCCAGGCATGGCTCATGCTTGTAATCCTAGCACTTTGGGAAGCCAAGCTGGGAGGACCGTCTGAGGCCAGGAGGTCAAGATCAGCCTGGGCAACATAGCGAAATAACCATCCCTACAAAAAACTGGCAAAAATTAGCCAGGCGTACTGGTGCGTGCCTGTAGTTCCAGCTACTCAGGAGGCCAAGGCAAGAGAATCGCTTGAACCCAGGAGGTCACAGTTGCAGTGAGTCTTGATTGTGCCACTGCACTTCAACCTGTGTGACAGAATGAAACCTTGTTTCAAAAAATAAAATAAAATAAAATAAAATAAAAAGTTTCTGGTCCGAAATATAGTTATGATTAAACATTGATCAGGCTGTACTTTGGCCCACTTCCTCATAACTAACAGTCAAGAAGCACCAGATACTGACCATTTGCATTCCCATTATTTTAGAAATAGGATTTTTTTATCCCATCCCCCTCCCCCCAGAAAGAGGATTTTTTAAATGTTAGAATCATAAGGCTTTTGTTAAGAATTGCTTAACATGTTTTTCAGATCTCAAATTCCAACAAAACAGCTGATGCCAAATAGTTTGAAGACCGCCATAGAGTAACAGAATCAGCATAAGAATATAGTTTCTTCATCTCCCTGTCCTACTGACTCTTAAATCAATTAGTGTTAACACTTTGGCCCACTCCAAAACCCTTAAAACCCCTACCCCTAAACAGTTTGGAGAGATGGATTTGAGGATTCCTCCTGTCTCCTCATTCAGCAGCCCACGATGAAACCTCTTTCTCTGCTACAACCCAATGTCTTGGCATATTGACTTGCCATGTGCAGCTGGCAATGGACTTATTACAATTACCAATAGGACACTCTTCATTCAGTGATATACCTGTTCCTGACATTTCCTCAAGCATCCTAAAATCTACAACGGATGACATGCCACCCAGACCTGTCATTTGCAATTAGAATTACTTGGGAGGGTTTGATTTTTTAAATCGGTATTCCGGCTCCTCACCCCAGAGATTCTGATTTAGTATCCCTGGGGTGGGAGCCAGGCATCTCCATTTTAGCAAGATCCTAGGTCGGGGTTCTCAAACTGAATCATCAGAAGGGCTTATTAAAACACAGACTACTGGACTCTACCCCAAAGTATCAGATTCAGTGTCTGTGGTAGAGTATATAACTTTAATTTCTCCTTTTTGTTTTTTTTTTGAGTTGGAGTCTCACTCTGTCACCCAGGCTGGAGTACAGTGGCACGCTCAGGGTCACCGCAGCCTCAACTGCTGGACTCAGGCAATCCTTCCACCTCAGCCTTCCAAGTAGTTGGAACTATAGGCATATGCCACCATGCATGACTAATTTTTTGATTTATTGTAGAGACAAGGGCTCACCAAGTTGCCCAGGCTGGTTTACAGGCTGAGCCCAGTCAATCACTTTCATTTCTAGTAAGTTCCCAGATGATACTGATGCTGCTGATTCAGGACCCATATTTTAAGGACCACTGCCCAGGGTGATTCTAATAAAGGTGATCCCTGGGACCACCACTTTGAAAAATACAGGCCCAAGCCGGGCTCGGTGGCTCAGCCTGTAATCCTGCGCCTTTGGGAGGCTGAGGTGAGTGGATTGC